TACATTATATATATATATATTATATATTTATTTATTTATATTATTTAACATAATATAGGTGTTACGTATCTATTTTCAATGTTTAACAAAAAAAGACATAGAGTACACGCTCTGTGCTTGAATTATTTGTGGCAACAATAAAGAATATACTTAAGACTTTTTTAATTCTATTTTCTTCCTCTCTTGCACATTTATAACATAGAATATTACACAAAATTAATTATTTGCATTAAATATTCCTTCTTGTATAAAGCTAAAATGGTATATTACAGTAATTGTTCATGCAAATACCACGTGCAACATTAATAAAATCCCTCTTGGAATTTTATAAAAGTCAAAACATTAAAATCGTTGGTCATATTCTAAATTTATTTATTTTACATTTTAATAAAAATTTATTTATTGGGGATAATATTTATATATTTTTAATTGATACAAAATACTGTGTATAATACAGAAAACATAAAACAGAATTTTTAGATATAAGCATCAAGCTGATTTTTTACATAAGGTAAATTCTCGATATAGTGACATCCGATGTAGTGAATAATTTTGTTGATCTTTTCTGTTATTTATGTATTGTATATAGCAAAATCTCGATATAATAAACGTTTAATAAGTTCGTTATATCGAGACTGTACGATATATTGAATTAACATCATTATTTTTCTGTTTGATGAAGTTTTAATGTTTAAGTTTCGAAGCCTAATATTGGACTCTCTACTGTGACGTTGTCGCTTTGATATTGAGTTTGATACAATTTTAATTAAATATTACGTTACATATTCAATAATTCTTAAAGTGGAAACTTGGAAATTTGCTCGCGAGGTTTCGTACAACAGTACAAGATTAAATTTTAATAACTAGTAAAGATTAACCGAGCAGAAAACAGCGATCGATGGACTGAACACTTCAAAGACTTATCAAAAGAGAAAATCCAAGGTCATATTTATAATTGAAGGAATTATTACATGTGAAATGTTAGTGAAAATTAAAAAATAAATATTGTTTAAATCCTAAAATATATTTCTTAACATAAATTTACAATGTAAAGAAATAAAACATTGAAAAAAAAATCTATATTTTTTCCATATAAATTGTTATTATCATGAATGATTTTGTTATTCGACATGTTGATTTAATGCATTTATCTTCGTATGTAATTTTATATTTATATAAAAATTAATTTTTAATAGTTCTAAAAATTAATTATGAATACTTCAAATAGAAACTTCGAGTGTGTAATTAATATTTTTCTGTTTCTTCGTTAGTCAATAATCCTGTTTAAATATAAGATGAAAATAGTAAGAAGTCTTATATAAGTTTCAACATGTATCTCGCGATCTACTAATGACAATCGATGTATTAATTAACATTAAATATATTTGTTAAATTTAATTATTTTAATTAGGTTAATTATAAATTCGATATTTTTATATTAAATAGTAACTCCCTATTACTAAACTTTCTAATTATAGAATTATTATAATTTAAAATCGATTTAACATATGATGTAGTGTAAATTAATCAGGCCTCTTGGTGCTCTCAGAGCGGGAAGAGGCCTTGAAAAAAAAAGTGTAAATTAATTTAAATTTATTCTACTAAATCTAAATAATATATTTAACTAATTTATATTTAACGAATTTGGAAAATAAATTTATTAAATTTAATTTAAAGATTTATTACATACTGTATACATGCATTAAACCCCACTTTTACGACTATTTTTCTTGCTTTAAGTCCGTATTTAAGTACATTATCATATTTTTATTAATTCTGTATAATATAATGTAATTAAAATACCTACATTAATCTCAATTGAGCTCACAGGAAATACAGTTCTCGCTTTACGACGGATGACTTTTTTTACCAGGAATCAATTAAGTTGTTAAAGCGAGGGCTTGCTGTATTATTTAGTATATAAGATTTGAGAGAATCCTGCATCATCCTTTGAATAGGAAGTAAGTTCGGAAGAATTTTAATTTTTTTCTATAATTTTTAATCTATAAGTTAGAACCTTTACAGAGAGAAATGCACCGTTTCTCTTATTGATGAAAGAAAAATAAATTACAATTACCTTGATTATTGGTGATATGAATCGTGTTATAACTGATCACAGAGCAATTTATTTAATAACAATATAATTCATGCTCTGTATACATACATAGGCCTATGCATTTATACACGAAGTATATCCATTTACCTTAGAACAAGGTAAATGGATAAATACATTTTACTTTTATTAAGTTAAAAATATATATACTGTATATAAAATATTTTAAAAATTATCAATATGATTATTTTTTAAATGTCTTCTGTTTCAGAAAGTTTTATTTTTGCACAGTTAATTTCATTTTAGAGTAGATTACAATATGAATATAGGATTTTTTCACTTATAAGAGGAATAAGAAGGATATAAAGTCGAGTAAATTGACAATTATAAATATTTAATTTGAAGAATATTTTTTGGTAATGGAATCGTTATAGACTTCCATCACAATCACGATAATAATAATGCTGTAGAAGAACAAGTCATCTTGCCCCACTTGTTATCTCATCTGCATCTTCCCTCCCTTTTCAATTTACCAAATTTACAGGTTATATTATCATTTAGATTTTTTTAAATATGCTAATGAAATTTAATTTAAATGCACTATTAATTATCATTACATCCATATAATATAATTTTATTTTATTTTATATAACATATAAGGTACTGTACATTTAACTATTTCATAATAATGAAAAAATAAATTAATTTAATCTAAATTAATCGAAAAATGCATATTTTTATATAAATAAGTTTTATTTTTCATATTTTATTTAAAATTGTTTTCAAAAAAGCTTTAAATGTATAATAAAAATTAAAAAACTATGATAATTAGTATTTTATGCAGAGTTTAATGTTTAAATTGTCTCAATTTATTAAATTAATGAATTAATCTATGTACATATATTTACCACTGGGAAATTTCAAGCATTAATTACAAGTGAATTGTGATATAATTACGTATTTCGATAATTAGACTCAGGTCACTTTACAATTAATTACAAGTAATTGCTTTTCTTGATAGTATGGAAATTTGCCTTTGGGATCACTGGAGGCTTAGCTATTGGCTTCCTAATTTTCTCCCTTTTAATATACAGGTAATATATTTTTTTTATAAACTATTAGTTTAAAGTAAATAATCTAAATTATAAAACTTATAAAAATTCTTAACTTTTACCAATTATATTCAGATAATTATTCAAAATATATACTTCTATATGTTACAACATATAGTATAGTTTTATATATAAAGTATATAAAGTCTATGATGATTATATTTTATAGTGTGTTGTTTATTTATTATAGATATTGGTCCTACGAACAAGAATTGGATAGTCTAATTTGGAAGATTGACTATAAAGATATACAAATTAATGAATATACACCGACTGCTGTATCAGGAAAAGCAAATAGAGTAAATATTTGATCTATATACACACAAAATGGCCCAAAAGTAAGATAACCATTGTAAGACAATTCCTGTCTTATACAAATGCTTTAATTCAAATACAGAAAAAAAGATTCATCCTGTTTAACACGCTTTTATAAAACGCTTGTAATAAATCTGTATAAAAATGCAGTTAACTAATTTTTGAGCCATCCCGTATACATAGTTTTATTTATTTTTTTCTTCTTACTTAAGGTTTCCAATTGAGCTATTCATTAATCAAAGTTTAATTTCTAATATAACGCATTTTAGTGTATTAAATACAGAAATAATTAACTATTTTATTATTATATTTCATAGAACTTTCATCCTTTAATTAGAACGAGCCAAATCTCTCTTAGTTCAAATCCCGATGCAGATTTTCGCTATTCGACAATATATACTCAAATTGGAGTTTATCGTGGAAGAGTATTTGCAATTAGAAGATTTCACAGAAAAAGTATCGATATTACTAGAAAAATGAAAAAAGAATTAAAAACAGTAAGTTAGTATGTATTTTAGATAAATGAATTTGTATAAAAGGCAGTCAAATGAAAAAATTAATTTCTAAATAAAATTCCAATGTATTTATTATAAACTCATACAACTATACTAGTCTTCACTAGTCTCCATTTCTTGCAATGTATATTCTTAATCGGTTACAAAGTCCATGGATTCTTCTGAAATAGAATTTTCTTGGTTACTTACAGCCACTCGTGCATCGCCTTTTGCACATCTTTATTTGAAGTAAAAACTTTGCCACTCACTGCCTCTTTAAACGATTTAAACAAGTGAGTCTGGTAAGTATAGAGGATATGGAACTCACTCTACGTACAATTCATCGATAGTTGCAACTGTAGAATGAGCAATATGTGGTCCAGTATTGTCTTGTTGCAGAAGTACCAAATTAAGTTCAACATGGATGATACGGTGGGCTGAACGATTACTGATATTCAATAATTTAACTACCACTTCTACTGTAACACGACCATTTTCCTGTACAATACGTTTAAATTCAGCTGGCATCACAACTCGGTGAGCCTGGTTTGTTCACGAAGCATAAGCTACAGAAGTCATGCCATTTTCAAACTTTAAAAGCCACTTGACATTTGATGAAGAGACACTCCCATACTGAACCTTTATTCCGCGATGAATTTCTACTGTTTTCACTTTTCATTTGACTGACCTATGAACTTCGTATATTTATCCAAATAATTGATATATTTTTATGTATTTAAGCACACTGGTACAACCATGATGCGAGGAAAAATATACAAAAAAAATCATACAAGATCATATAACATATCCGTTAATATAAAACAAATATATATAAGTTATAACTAAATTACAATCGTAAATCAAAAAAGAAATTGTATTAGAAACCTAAAGTTTGGAGAGCTATCAAAAAATAAACAAACAAATAAATAAATAACCAGTATATATAAGTTATAACTAAATTACAATCGTAAATCAAAAAAGAAATTGTATTAGAAACCTAAAGTTTGGAGAGCTATAAAAAAATAAACAAACAAATAAATAAATAACCAGAAAACTATGCTATATTTTACCTATAAAATGAAAAATTAATCAGATTAATCTCTTATTCACAAATCGGATAGTCTTCCAAATAACCAAAGCTAACCGGTGGTTAAATAACGCACAAACCACTGCCCCCAGGGCTCAATTAACATGAAATTACTAATAGCTTTCACTATGAATTTAAAAAAGAAACACAAAAAAGCGAAATTATCATAAAGCCAACATCATGAGATAAACAATTTAACTGTTTTAATAAAAATAAATACCTTGAAAAACGAATCAGTACCAGACATTACTTTCCTAAAATTATTAAAATCTCCTCACGTAGTTTTGACAAAAAGGCATAAACTTCAATCACGTGATATGAATCCAATGATGAATCTGTACCACATATGCAAATGTTCCTTTTGTAATTACATTAAAAAACTTAATGAATTACATCTAACTTGCGTTAATACTGCCATAACATTACAGGAAAGATTACTGTTATAAATAAAACAGTCGAAAAAAGATTTATTCAAATTTTTATACCACCAACAATAGATGCTTGATAATATGCTATTATTCAGCTTAAAAATATAATTATCATAATTATTTAGCTTTAATAAATAAACTTCATTTGAATTTAAAAAAATTCAAAATCAATCCCATTCCTCGTATATTTCACAAACAGATAGATACTTCATCAAGGGCAATTCTAACCGTTTCAAAACAAACAAATCTTGCTCAGACGATCTTCTCTTAAGCTTAATGTTTTAAAAACCCATCAAGATTATGCAAGACAATGGGAACCAATGAACACTCCATACACACTAAATATCCAAGAGTACATCTTGGGAGCCCATACAATCTCTTAACAAAAGTAGGTAATACTATATCCAAAATCTCCTCCTGAAACCCTACACTTCGGAGGAATAGAGAAGAGAAAAATCTACAACTGCGTTAAATAATTTTAGCTGATTCCTGAAATAACACAATTATGCGGACTTACACATTTGAACAACTTTATCCAACTTTATCTCAGCATTAACTCTACAAACCCTGACATGAGTATTAAAATTGTCATTGCTTTTAACGTTCACACCTAAATATGTTGTGAAACAACCGAAATTGGGACACCCCTAAACCACTATTTTGAAAAATAGCAATTTTAAATTTTGTAAGATTCAATCGTAGATTGTTATCCAATAATTGATATTTTATTGACTTTGAATATATTATTTCTTATCTGAAGGAGAAAAACAGGTAAAATAAAGTATACGTTATAAACAGAAAATAGAAAGCAGTAAGTTGAGAGTCAGATGAGATTAAAGAAGAGGCATAGGATAGAAAAAGACTGAAAAATGGTCCACAATGGAAGATTGTAAGAAGATAGGAAAGGATGAAAGGTTTTTCACTAACTAGACCCTACCCTAGGCATAAAATACAATACGTGTTCTTATATTTTTAAATTTGTCTGTATTTCTCCTTCAGAATGAAAAAATTTTCCCTAATTTAATAAATTTATTGGTTTATATTTTTATGAAACATCAAATAATAACATATTTAATATATTTTTAACAAAATATAATTNAATTTAAGAATTGGTCTGATAATGAAACAAACATGTCGGCAACAATGCAGCTTAATTTTATTTTCTAATGTTGGCAACATGTGCCACGCTATAAATAGATTACACGGTTGGATGTTGGAAGTGCGAGATGGTTATGGTATCAGCCAACCATCTGGAGGACCCGGAATCCAGTGCATTACAAGAGGACTTTCTATGGGATAATTGGTTCCTATTTGGGTGAAAAAACCCCGGAAAATGCCACGTGTCAAGCCTGTTGGTGAGACTTGAGCACCTTTACACGCGACCTCTGATAGGCCGCTGATAGAAATTCATCTAAACTTTGAGAGAAATAGTCCACGTTTTCCAAAATGTTGGAAACATTTCCTAAATTTCAAAAATATTAAGCCATTATTTTAAAAATGGATGGCACGATTGCGATATTACAGGAATGTTCATCAGGAAAGAGCACGCTTTGTGTAATAAGACGCACATATTTGGTGATTAGAGGAAACAATTCAACTAATATGCTAATTGTTACGAATTAATGGCACGCGATTGTAAAACAAAACGAAAATGGCCGATGATTGTGAATATTAATGAACAGATTTCAATATTTTGAAACGTTTAAGCACTTTGAAGTTTCTTTTAAATAAAAACGGAAAGCATTTTTAGAATAAACCAGCAACGAGTTGCTCAACTTTCCCGGCAACATTTAAAATTTTAATGGTGTCATCTGTTATCATATTTTATTTTAAAAGCTTTTTATAATTTTAACTATTATAAAATGGCAAAAAATCTTCATTATGAGGATAGGGATGGGTTTTATAAAAAACTGTAAATGCTAATAATGAGTAAAATCGTCATTAAATCCGACACTACTGGAGATATATACGACCCCCATTATCTCCCTAATCCTCGACCTTTAATCACCAAAATTTAATAGCATCAATCTCCCTAATACACAAACCTCCCTTCAAAATTTCAGAAATTTCCGACGAAAAGCATAGGAGTTATTAAGCTTCAAAGAGCATGAACAAAATCGTGCTCCCCACACACTAACATTTATACATAAAAAAATTATCCCCGAATTTTTTGCATTTCTCGACGTTTCAGGGTCCTTCAAAATTGTAAAAATCTTGGTTGGAGATTCATTCTTCGACCGATCGCCATACTTCCATCTGTTATATATATCAGCCGGAAAAATAATGGTGTATGCTTTTATGAAGTACCTCATAAGCGTATGCAAAATGTAATCTTATTTTGAATTTCTGTGTAGAAAGCAAATTGAAGTGTATATATAAAAAACAATGCACGTTTTCTTCAATGATAAAAACTGAGCTTCGTTCTGCGACATATAGACTCCTGCACCCAAACTTTGAAAGACAATCACCTCACTCCTTATCTGATAGTGGGTTTAATTACGGTAGGAAATCGAAGAAAATCGATTGATTAAATTAAAATTTTATTACAAATTCCTGAAAATAGTGTTAAAGCACTGGAAACTGCATAGAATTTTACTGTCATTAAAACTACTGTCTATAGGTATTTAATAAACATAGAGAATAAGTTCTTCCTTCAATAGACATACGGAAAGGTATACAAAAAGAAACGAGAGTGAAAAAGTACAGATTTAGAACAATATACACATCACTATAACCTGTCTTGGCAGTAACGGTGAGCTCCTTTCTTGTCTTGAAAGTTTGTTACTATGAATTAGAAAACTTAGCCATTTAGCTCTTTATGATCTGTCTCCCCTATGAGAAACTACTCCTATTTAGGTGTCAGAAATGTTCACTTAGCCAGCAGCTTAGCGAGGTGCGAACTCACGACTAAGTGTTTACAAGTGTTTAGTGGCTCTATCCACTCGGTTTTATCCAACTTGTGTTTTTCAGCTGTAATCCTTGAAATCGCTAGAAACTTTTACTCTAATTTCGAAATACGTTTCTTAAATTACGAAATGTTTCTTCTCACTTTTCATGATATACTAATTTTAAAATCTGTGTCATAATTACTGAACCGATTCCTGTAACAACGAAGCATGCATCTTACTCTCACAAAGTGTGCTTTCTTTTCTGATAGATCCGCCGGTAATAATGTAATTCTGCCATTCATTTTTGAAATGTTGGCTTAATAATTCAATTTACGAAGTGTTTCCAACATTTTGAAAAACGTGGACTATTTCTTTCAAAGTTTACACTATTTTCTGCAATCCTTTGCTTAAATATTGGCAATAAATGTAAATTTCTTCCTGGATTTATTTCTATAAAATGTATTTATTAATAATTTTATTATAATCAAGTTAATGATTTATATGATTATATTAAAGGCAAATATAAAAATGTTTTTATATTTAAATTTAATAATTTTCGCATTTTATACAGTTATATATTTTTTTCATCCAAAATTTCTC